TCCAGCCTCCTCACTGTGACCCCACGGCGCAGCCCCTGAGACGCCAGGCTTTCCTGCGGAGCGTGAGTATGCCTGCCGAGACGGCCCACATCCCCGTGTCCCACCATGAGCTCCGGCGGCCGGCGCTGCAGCGCCAGACGTCCATCACGCAGACCATCCGCAGGTACTCGGCTGCTGTGGCGGCTCCGCCCGTGGGGGCTGGGGGGCCGGGGGGCAGAGGTAGGCAGAAGTGTCCCCTCTGGGTACGGGGCTGGGACTGGAGCCAGGGTCCCTCCTGTCTCGGCTGTCTCCTCCATCTTGTTCCCCACGTCGCCCTGTCCTCCTCCTGTTCTGGGGACCAACTGCTCTCACCTGCCACCTTCCCTGCTCCCCACCACCACCCCGTCTCCTTCTCTGTCTCTCCCATCCCAACGCCTTGGTCCCTGGACAGCCGGCAGGTGCGCTCTGGGCGTGTCCACACTCTGCCCCTCTTGGGTCCCTCTGCTGCCCGCAGGGCTCTGCCACAGCGCCGCTCTCTCTCTCGGTCCCTGCTCAGGTACCTGGGGCAGGGCGTGAGTGTGTGGACGTCAGGTGGCGTGTGCATGGCTTGCGATCTCTTGGGGGCTGCCAGGGCCTTTGGTGTTCCCTGGGGTTCCTAACAGCAGGTCCTGGTGGTGTTTTTCTTTGCATGTCCAAGAGGTGTGCACAGCTTGCCTGGCCTTGCACTGCCCACTGCCTGAGTTCTGTGGTGTCTGAGGTCAAGCTGCTGCCTGGGGCCAAGCTCTCTGGCGAAGGGCTGAGCTCTGTGTGCCATCTGTGGACTCTGTCTCCCCATGAACCCCCCTCTCCGGGATGGGCTGAGGATCGGTGTAAAATACTCACTTGGGCAAGGCCTGCCATCTGCACTTCTAGTGGGAATTTGGAGTTGGCTAATTGCTTAGGGGGTGGCCAGGGCTGGAACCCACCCATCCTCTTAGTTAGACCCAGCGCACCTGGCCCCTGGCCCCGGGCCCCAGGCGTGATTGGAGGCTTGGGCTGGGGCACGATGTCCGCCCTGGCGGGGCCGGGGGAAGACCTGGCTTCCCCTTGCTGAGACTCTACCGTGGCAGGGGCACCGCGGACTGGTTCGGAGTGAGCAAGGACAGTGACAGCACCCAGAAGTGGCAGCGGAAAAGCATCCGCCACTGCAGCCAGCGCTACGGAAAGCTGAAGCCCCAGGTCATCCGGGAGCTGGACCTGCCCAGCCAGGACAACGTGTCTCTGGCCAGCACTGAGACGCCCCCTCCGCTGTACGTGGGGCCATGCCAGCTGGGCATGCAGAAGGTATGCCCACCCAGCCCTGCTGCCTCCCACCAGCCTCTCTGTCTGCTCCCCGGGCCGGGGCTGGGGACACGGCTGACCTGAAGACAGGAGACTCCGCAAAGCTGCTGGCGTGGGGGGCAGTCACATGGTCCCAGAAAGGCACCTAAGATACTCTCTGGGAACTGGGGCCTGGGGGAGGGGACAGGGTCCTGGGATCGGGATGGGAGACCATCCCAGGATGCACAGCAGTGTAAAGGCCCCATGGGTGAGGACGGGGACCCTCCTAGGCTCCCACACAGCCATTCAGGGACCCGCTGGGGGGTGGGAGGAGGGGCAGCTATGTTCTCCACAGCGGGGTCTAGGGTGGGGAAGGGGCCCCCACAGCCACGGCCCAGGCCTGGACTCTTACGTCTCCTTCCGTCTGCCAGATCGTAGACCCCCTGGCCCGGGGCCGGGCCTTCCGCGTGGCGGATGACACGGCCGACGGCCTGAGTACGCCGCACACGCCTGTCACGCCTGGTGCCGCTTCCTTCTGCTCCTTCTCCAGCTCCCGCTCGGGCTGCAGCCGGTTCCCGCGGCGACGCAAGCGCGAATCGGTGGCCAAGATGAGCTTCCGGGCAGCCGCGGCCCTGGTGAAGGTGGGTGCGGGGGCCAGGGCGGGCTGGGAACGCGGCGGCCGGCACGCCGCATGCTCACCTCCTTGCTGGCAGGGCCGCTCTGTCAGGGATGGCACGTTGCGCCGGGCGCAGCGCCGAAGCTTTACTCCTGCCAGCTTCCTGGAGGAGGACACGGCTGACTTCCCCGACGAGTTGGACACATCCTTCTTTGCCCGGGTAAGAGCACAGGGGTATCACCTGCCACCCCTCTGTCTGCGTGTCCCACCCTGATCGCCTGTGTTTGCTCAGGAAGGAGTCCTCCATGAGGAGCTGTCCACGTACCCAGACGAGGTGTTCGAGTCCCCTTCAGAGGCAGCGCTCAAGGACTGGGAGAAAGCCACGGAGCAGGCCGACCTCACGGGTGGGGCCCTGGACCGCAGTGAACTTGAGCGCAGCCATCTGATGCTGTGAGTGCCACTGGCCCGTGGGGAGGGGAGGGCAGGGGGCCGGACTTTTGGCTGTCAGGAGCAGCTGCGCCCTGGGACACTGATGCCCAGGAGGGCCGAGGGAAGGATTGTGGAGTGTGAGCCCAGCCTGTGCACTGTGGCTGTGGTACCCAGGGCCGGGCACCCTCCAAGGCTCAGCTGCCCACCTGCGGGACGGGCACACGATCCCAGAACCCACAGGCTGGGCGGAGTCCCGCAGGGAGGAGAGGGTTGTGATTAGTACTTGCAGACTGTCAGGGAACCTCACGTAGGTCAGGTTCTATCTCTTCCACCCCAGAGGGGCTCAGGATTGCTTTTACTGGTTGGGTGGAGGCTGAATGACCACACGGTGCCTTCACTGCTAGACAGGAGCAAGACAGAGCGGGAGGGTCAGCCCCATGCAGGAGGGATTGCAGCAGGTCGGGCATCTAGGGCGGGGGGCTGACTGCGCCCCTTCCCCCCAGGCCCCTAGAACGAGGCTGGCGGAAGCAGAAGGAGGGTGGAGCAGCGGCCCCGCAACCTAAGGTGCGGCTACGGCAGGAGGTAGTGAGCACGGCGGGTCAGCGGCGGGGCCAGCGCATCGCGATGCCCGTGCGCAAGTTCTTTGCCAGGGAGAAGCGGCCGTACGGGCTGGGCATGGTAGGCCGGCTCACCAACCGCACTTACCGCAAGCGTATCGACAGCTATGTCAAACGTCAGATCGAGGACATGGATGACCACAGGTAGGCATGGCGTGGGGGTGTGGGGGTGGGCTGCAGCTTCGAGCGGGCAAAGCTCCAGGTTGGGGGCGGGTTCTCTGGGTTGGGGATGCCGCCTCTGCTGACGCTCCACCCTGCAGGCCCTTCTTCACCTACTGGCTCACCTTCGTGCACTCGCTCGTCACCATTCTAGCCGTGTGCATCTATGGCATCGCGCCTGTGGGCTTCTCGCAGCATGAGACCGTGGACTCGGTGAGCCCTGGCACCCTCCCCAGCCGAGACTCTTGGAGTCTAGGCTCTGAACTCCCTCCTGCTTCACCCTGGGAGGAGAGGGCTGGAGTGGGATCTGTCTCATCTCTTTGTTCACCCTTCCAGGTCCTGCGGAACCGCGGGGTCTATGAGAACGTCAAGTATGTGCAGCAGGAGAACTTCTGGATCGGGCCCAGCTCGGTGAGGGCAGGGCCTTGTGGGCGCCGGTGGGTGGGAACCCTGGGCTGGCAGGGGACCGGGGCCACCGCTGCACATCCCACTCCTCCGCAGGAGGCTCTCATTCACCTCGGTGCCAAGTTCTCGCCCTGCATGCGCCAGGACCCGCAGGTGCACAGTTTTATCCGCGCCGCGCGGGAGCGTGAGAAGCACTCGGCCTGCTGTGTGCGCAATGACCGGTCGGGGTGTGTGCAGACGTCGGAGGAGGAGTGCTCGGTGGGTGCCCCCACCGCTGTATGTTTGTGGTTCAAAGCAAGGGCCCTCCGTTCACGTTCATTCCCTGCCTCCCCCATCTCCTGCTTCTCACATCACAGACAGTTGTAGCCAGGCGTTGACTTGGGGGTGCTCTTTCTGCATGTGTGCATCTTGTTTCTGACACAAGTGGTAGTGCTGTATTCTTTCCCCTAAGCAATTAAAAGAGACCCAAAAAAGCAAAAAAGATTCATCCAAGTTTTTTTTTTTTTTTTTAATTTTTAAAAAAACGATCTATTTAGAGAGAGAGAAAGCACAAGCGGGGGGCGGGGGCAGAAGGAGAGAAGCAGACTCCCCGCTGAGCGCAGAGCTGGCCGCAGGGCTCAGTCTCAGGACCCTGAGATCATGACCGGAGCTGACACGAAGAGTGGGACCCTTAACCGGCGGAGCCGCCCAGGCGCCCCCGATCCAGGTTTTTATCACATCATCTTGTGCGGAGGTGCTGTAGTTTATACCAGTTCCCGGATTGTGGTGGTTTCTATTCTGAAGCTAATAGGAATTCTGCCGTTGAGATCCTGTTAGGTCTCCCAACATGCCCACACATTTCTGGAGTGTAATTTCATTGAGATTGGGTTGTGGGTAAGGGTGAGAGTCTCAGTGGCTTTGCTTCTGATTCCTGCGTCCTGTTGACGGCGCTGGTAAGGGGTGGGCTCTGACCAGGGTTTGACCCTGTGTCTCCCACAGTCCACACTGGCAGTGTGGGTGAAGTGGCCCTTACACCCCAGTGCCCCGGACCTTGCCGGCCACAAGAGGCAGTTTGGCTCTGTCTGCCACCAGGACCCCAGGTCAGTCTTGCTCTCCACCCCCGCCTTCACCACCTTAGCCCATGGCCCTGTGGGGTGTGGGGGGAGAGGGTATAGCCCCCAGGGGGTTGTCGAGTTGGACAGGTGTGGATGCCAACGAGATAAAGCAGGGTCTGACCACATGCTGGGTTCGCAGGGTGTGTGATGAGCCCTCCTCAGAGGACCCCCACGAGTGGCCAGATGACATCACCAAGTGGCCGGTGAGCCAGAGTGAAAGGTTGTTTGGCGTCACCCTTGTCATGTTGGGGAGAAATCCACACTTCATCCATTAGTGATGCCAGAGAGATCGCCATCATGGGACCACCCTGCATATTCAGATGCTGTGCCCCAGGCCTTTGCCCAGCCTGTCTACCTCCCAACACCTGCTTCTCTGAGCAGGCAGCCAGAACGGGAGAAGCAGGTGGAAGCTTGGGAGGTCAAGTGACGTTATTCCAACTAGACAGATGGCTCATCGGAGTCTCAGGGTGTGGCAGCATGCCTGAAGTCAAGGGAGGCCGGCTTCCTACCCTAGGACCTGTGCATCTTTGCCCCAGTCCCCAAGCATGGTGGGGGGCCCAGGGTTGGGGGTGGCCCTAACCCAACTCACCCCCATTTGTGACCCAGATCTGCACCAAAAACAGCGCTGGGAACCACACCAACCACCCGCACATGGACTGTGTCCTCACGGGCCGGCCCTGCTGCATTGGCACAAAGGGCAGGTAGGTGCGCTCGTGTGCACAGCCCATCCTGGGTGCAGAACATTGCCCTGGGGTCCCTCTTCCCTCACCATGTTCGGAAAGAACCCGAGATACCAAGGCGCCTGGGTGGCAGTCAGGTGCCTCTGCCCCTGGGCCCCAGCAGGCCCCTCTCCAAGCCCTCTCAACCCTGGCCTGACCTTCCAGGTGTGAGATCACCTCCCGGGAGTACTGTGACTTCATGAGGGGCTACTTCCACGAGGAGGCCACACTGTGCTCGCAGGTAGGCCTCTGGGGCGAGTGTCCCTCCCCTCTCCCCCCAGCCACATGGGTGCTGATGGGCTGCTCTGCACAGGTGCACTGCATGGATGACGTGTGCGGGCTCCTGCCCTTCCTCAACCCTGAGGTGCCTGACCAGTTCTACCGCCTGTGGCTGTCCCTCTTCTTGCACGCTGGGCAAGTGATACCCTGTGGGCTGAGCAGGGGTAGGTGGGGTGAGTGGCCCCGGGGACCCTAGGCGTGGCTGGCCAGAGATGGGGAAGGGTGGCCCCCCTGCTGAGTACCGCCCGCCCCCCCGTAGGATCCTGCACTGCCTGGTGTCCGTCTGCTTCCAGATGACCGTCCTGCGGGACCTGGAGAAGCTGGCAGGCTGGCATCGCATCGCCATCATCTACCTGTTGAGTGGTGTCACCGGTAACCTGGCCAGTGCCATCTTCTTGCCATACCGGGCAGAGGTAGGGCCATCCCCCAGGGCGGGCACCCTCCTGAGTCTCCTGCTGCCCATCCTCAACTGGGTCCATGTCTGGCACTGGGTTTGGGTCCCCAGAGAGTCCAGCCTGGGGGGCCTCTCCTTTTGCCTCCTCCCATCTTGACGTGCTCTGGGCCACGGGAGGCGGGGTGGGGAGAGGGGGCTCTCTGGGTCCAGGCTGGGGGTGGGTGTGGGTCTGCTCAGCCTCGCCAGCTTACGGCCACCCACACTGTCGCCAGGTGGGCCCAGCCGGCTCGCAGTTTGGCATCTTGGCCTGCCTGTTCGTGGAGCTTTTCCAGAGCTGGCAGGTCCTGGCCCGGCCCTGGCGTGCCTTCTTCAAGCTGTCGGCTGTGGTCCTCTTCCTGTTCACCTTCGGCCTACTGCCCTGGATCGACAACTTCGCTCACATCTCGGGCTTCATCAGCGGCCTCTTCTTGTCCTTTGCCTTTCTGCCCTACATCAGCTTCGGCAAGTTTGACCTGTACCGCAAGCGCTGCCAGATCATCGTCTTTCAGGTGGTCTTCCTGGGCCTCCTGGCCGGCCTGGTGGTCCTCTTCTACTTCTACCCCGTCCGCTGTGAGTGGTGTGAGGTCCTCACCTGCATCCCCTTCACTGACAAGTTCTGTGAGAAGTACGAGCTGGATGCCCAGCTCCACTGAGCTGGCCGGGGCCCCGGGGCTGTGGGCCCCAGCAGGGCCAGGGCCGGGCACACTGTCCGCCCCGAGACTCACAGGCCACAGGACTCGACCTGCGAGCCGTGTGTGCGGGCCGGCCCGTTTTCCTGAACACTCACCTCTTGTGCCTTGTTCGCCGCTGGTGAACGTCGTCTCGTACTTCGGGGCATTTATTATACTAGTTCCCATGATTACCTTCTAACTAGTTTCTGGACGACCACCTCATGTGGCCAATAAATGGACCGGGAGCGTTTTAGCTGCCACTAACTTATCAGAGCTGCCTCCTGTCTCTGGTTTCCGGCTAGGGCTGCAGAGGGAGGTCCTTCAGGCTTCTTCCCCACCCTCCCCTCCCGCTTACAGTCCCCCAGAACAGGGAACTAAGTGTCAGGTGTACCTCCCAGCGAAGCCCCTCAGCCAGGTGGATGGCTGTACCTTGTCCCCCCCTTCCTTAGGGTGACTGGCAGCTGACAAAGATAGAAGAACCCATGGCTTTGCTGTCACATTCGTCCCCCCGCCCCCACGGAGAAGCACCCTGACCCCAGTGCTTCCTCTGTAGCCAGCAGTTCCAAGTTACTTCCTTTTGCAGGAGCCAAAGGGTGAAGGGTGTTGCTATCGGTGAACCCTGTGAGCTGAGGCTGGAGACCTCATCCATACACTGTTGGATGCGAGGCCCTTGTTTCCCCACAAGCACCCACAGAAAGCCAGCCATCTGCTTTTATTTCCCCTTGCCGTAGAAACCACAGTAAAAGGGTCTTATGGCCAGCTGATGGGTGTGGGCACGGGGCTCAAATGAAGCATCTTAGACCTTTGGATTCACCTGCACCGATTTCTGCCCTTGCCTCCCCTCCGTGACTGGGCAGCAGCAGTCCCTCCTGCCCCAGATACTGTGGTTTTCTGACTTTTCAAACTAAGAAACAAGTAGATTTATTTTGTACACAGGGCCAGGCCCATTTGCCACATGATTCGGTTGTTTGGGCCTAGGGCTCAGCTGTGTCCCAGCTGGGCACAGGCCACCAGCACAGAGCTGTCCTTGTCTGGAGGTTCATTTTTGCCTCAGCTTTTTGATGAAGGACACCTCATCCCGATTCCGGATACCGTAACTGGAAAAGGAGGAGGGCTAGAGTGTGTGATCTGCAGAAGGTAGGTTGGACTCCTCACCTGAGACTTGGGAGGGACCAAGAAGGAAGGGGTAGGAAGAGCACTGCGTGCAGGAAGGTGGGGAAGTGGCAGTGGCCACCCTCTCAAGACCCCCATCGTGCCAGTGGGCAGCCTCTCACCTGCACACACTGCCTTCCCCTGGCTCCGGGAAGCCCTTCACTGCCCCTGGAAAGCGATGGTCACACTGCCCCCAGGTCTCCCATTCCAGTAGGGAGGGCCCCCAGGAACCTCCTTGCAGGAAGGGTATCAGTCCAGCCAGGGACTCCCCAGGTCTTGCAGATTCCCCAGTAACTGATTTAAGACTCCCCGCTTCCTGGGAAGAGGCCCCAGCCCTCTGGCCGAGCTTGGGGAACTAGAGGGCAACAGACCAGATGCCTCCCAGCAACTCAGAATGTGCCCTGAACTTACTCTCGAAGCTTCTTCCTGTCCTCTGTGAGCTTCTCTCCTGCAGAGGTCAGGTAGTAGGTCCTCCACACATAGGACCTGCAAGATTCAGATGAGGATTCAGGTAAACCACAAGCATGGTCACTGGGCAGCTGGGACACAGGGGCTGTGTGTGAGATGGGCTGAGGCAGCTCTAAGGAGGCACTGCTCAAAGGGCTGTGTTGGGTAGCTGGGGGCCAAACACACCTTACGAAATAGGCGGCAGTACCGAGACACAGACAACTGAACGCCTGACCCAACAGGCGTGAGGAGAGCACCCTAGTGAAGATGGGGTGGGGCCACTGACAGCTAGGGAGACCACTTACAGACACTGGAAATGCCCCGAGATGCCCCCCGTTTAAGAAACCCAGCTGCCCGGGTGGGGTGATGTACATGAAAGAGCAACTGAGGCAGGACTCCCAGGCATGGAGGCACCCACCACGCCTGAAGGCTTGGGACAGGGAACTCAGAACTCACTGGTACTTTGCGGCACACGTGCAACAGGTGCTCATGCGCCACCAGCCCTTCCTGCCGCTCCACTTACCAGCTGATGTGCTGAATGCCCCCTTCACGCTCCTGCCTGAGCTGCACGTATCTCTGAATGGCCTTCTTCAGATCCAGGACTGTGGCGTTCTGTACCACAACCACAGCTGCAACACAAATGGGAAGACAGCCATGGTGGGAATCCACAGCCACAGCCTCTGATGGCACGAAAGGAACCCAGAAGCTCTGTCCAGACTCTCTTGGACGGAGACTCAAGTCCAGGTGGAGTAGGCTTGTGGTTGGCCCAGGACCCTCCCTGGGACATGGCCCCGAGTTTCCCCGTGAGCAGCCGTGTCAGCATCTTGCCTGTGTGGAAGCTCCGACTGCAAGGTCCAAAGGGAGAAGGCGAACACTTACGCATTATTTCTCCATCCATCTTGCACACTCGGACTGTCATTGCTTGGCCGTATTCTAGTGCTATCTGGGAGTTGACTTCTTCCAAAGTCACCTACAAAAAGACCAAGCGTGGAGATGGGAACCTTGGCTCTCTTTACTCTCCCAAACAACAACCAAAGAAAACGAGCTGATAGTGTCCAAAAAGCAATACCATGTTTTATGAAGGACAAGAAACAGATTTCTTGCTTATATGTTAGGGTTTCCCAGTTCCACCCACATTTTGTATTTAATGTCCAAAGTGGATAAAAGCTCGGCAAAAGAGAAGTATACAGACAGGAGGATGAGGATCAGATCTGGGTTCTGGGGCTGGGTAGGAGTAAGAACACTGTCAGTCCAAGGCCCAAGGCAACGCTTGAGTTGAGGCAGGTGCGCAAGATTTACCAGAGCACCAAAAAAACAGTAATATAAACATTTTGAACCAACTTAACAAGAAATACAAGTGAACTTTAAAACTCCAAGAGGGGCAAATTAGCAAAGATTTAAAGACAGGACTGTGCCGAACCATACTGAAGGTAGATAAATGAAAAGCCATCAACACTGATCTCGTCTTCACGCCAAGTTTCGCTGTCTCGTTTGCTAGAGCCTTTTTTACACGCCCTTTGAGCTTTGAAAACGGTGTATTACAAGGTCATGTATCCCGACGAGTGTTTTTCTGGGCGCCCCCTTAAATCCTGCGCGCCAGGTGGGAGCCTCGCTCGCCCCCGCCCCCCCCCCAAGCCCCAGGTAAGACCTTCGCTGGAGCCCAGAGGCGCCTTCTTGGGGCCTCTGGGCCGCAGCCCCCCATCAGGGCCTCCCGAGGTCCGTCCGCGCCCCGGCGCACGGCCCCGCGGGGAACGATCCCGGCCCCGGCGGCCCCCATCGCCCGCGCGCACCTGGATCGGTAGATCGCAGAGCAGCGGGTCCTGCACGACCATGGCGAGACCCTCCTGGAACACGTCCACCGCCTCGGAGTGCGGCAGCGCCTCCTCTTCGTCCTCATCGTCCTCGGCCGCCTCGGACCGCACGGCCGCCTCCGCCTCGGCCGGCTCCAGGGCGCCTCTCCGCTGCCGCGCTCCGCCCGCACCGCCGGCTCGCGCGCGTCCCCGACGCGGGGACCGCAGCCCAGCCCCTGGGACCGCCAGGGGGCGGGGCTGCCACGAGGACCAATGAGAAGCTCGAAGCGGCCTGCCGCAGCGGTTGCTGGGAGCGCGACGTCGGCCTGTCCGTTGGTCGGCCGGAGGGTGGGGCGGCCGCCCGGACAAATGGGAGCTCGAGGCGGGCCCAGCGCCGGCGCCCGGCGGCCGCAGGGGCTGCCGGGAGCCTGCGGAGCCGAGCCGGCTGCCATGCTGCTCTTCTGCCCGGGCTGCGGGAACGGGCTGATCGTGGAGGAGGGACAGCGCTGCCACCGCTTCGCCTGCAACACCTGCCCCTACGTGCACAACATCACCCGCAAGGTCAGGGGTGGGGCCCGGAGCCCTCTTCCCGGCCCACCAGCCCCGCGTCCGCCTCTGGCCGTCCTCGCTCTCGCCGCCGCCTGCGGTCGGCTGCGGAGCCTGTCGGGTGCGGTCGAGCGCCCGCAGGATGCGGCCGTGTGTCCCCCCTCCGTGCCGCCACCTCGGGCCCCGCCCCGTTGCCTCTCCTGCGTCCCGGTCCTGACCTCGCGCTGGGGCTCCCGGCGCTGCGTTCCCGGCGGACAGTGTCGGAGCCGGTGCTGTGCTCGGGAGCTCTCCGCAGCTCCCCAGCGCACCCCCCGGACCCAGCAGGCTCTGACACCGACCCCTCCCTCGGAGCTTGCGTGTCTGGTGCCGCGTTCTAGTGCATGCCTTGGCCGCAGCCAGACCGGTCTCTTGCGAGGGGCCCCACCGCGCACGGGGCGCTGCTGCCGGGGCCTTTGTACGTGCCATCTGCTCGGTTTACTTTTCCCCTGGGTGGCCATGCCACTTGCTGGGCTTGTCTGTACTTAAAGTGTTGCCCCGTGTAAAACTTCAGCCCCTCCCGCCATTTATCCGCCTTCCCTGTCTTACGTTTTTCCACAGGACTCATTACCTTCCAGTGTACTCCGCGACTTTAGTGTTTTGTTTCTCGATACGAGGACATAAGGTGTTGTTTCTCCGTACTAGGACATAAGGTGTAGGAAGGCAGGGGTTTTTCTGTTTTGTTGCCTCTTAGGTTCTGTCTAGTCTGAACCTAGAATGGAGTGGATGTTCAGTACATGAATAATGCTTTCAGTGTCGTTACAATTTGTTTTCCCGTAATAATCTTTATTTGTTAGCACGCTTCTACTTTTTAGAACTAAAGAACTTCTTAATGTTGTGGGAGTTTAGGATCAGAAACTGCGGGAAGAGTGAACTCTTAGGTAACCCTGAAATTTCAAGGATATTTGGTAAAATTTGGGAAGAAAGCCGAGTGTGATCTGCTTTGAAAGCTGTCTGGCGGGGCTCTCCAGCTAAGTGGTGCTGTTTGGCTTCAGTTGTGTTTCTCTCATCTTGGGTAATCTAGGATCCTAGAGGTGGGGGCGAAGGGGGAGGGTCCCACCTACCCGGTTTTCCTTCCTGCTCTGGTGTGTCATCCAGTCCTTGCAGAGACCTCACCGCCGTGTGGTCACTGCGCTGAAATAAAGTTCTCAGACCCCAGTCTGAGCGGCCATGCAGGACTACCTCTGCAAGTAGGGCAGCAGCAGCTGGGTTCTGCACATCGCTTTTATTTCATTTTTTATCAGAAAAGCAAGGACAGATGCCTCAAAGCCTGGGAAAGGAGTACAAAGGGATGGCAAATATCTTGAAGCTGTAAAGCAGGCCTGCACCCTCCTCTACGCACAGGCACGCAGGGAGGCAGTCATGGGATAAGTGAAGAGGGGGATGTTTGTGCTAGCAAACGCCAGGTGCAGGAAGGGGGGGACTGAGGGTTACATTCTTTCCTAGCTCCTAGCCTGTGCCCTGCCCCTGGGGATCATGGGATCCTGCTCCTACCGGGCCATTGTGTTCAATAGCCTGAGAACAGGAACGCTGCTGACATTTCAGTTGCTTCCACAATCACTCCTGAGGGCTTACAATATATTTTCTTTCTTTTCTCCTTTTTTTAAAAGGTTTTATTTATTTGAGATAGAGCGAGAGAGAGAGAGCGCGCGAGCATGAGTGCGGGGAGGAGGGGCAGAGGGAGAGGGAGAAGCAGACTCCCCTCTGAGCAGGGAGCCAGACACAGGACTCGATCGCAGGACCGTGAGATCACGACCTGAGCCGAAGGCGGAGGCTTAACCGACTGAACCACCCAGGCGCCCCTAGGATACGTTTTCTGAGAATAACTCCACACCACTGAATCTTCCTCTTTTGGGCGGCATCCCAAACCTGGATTCTTTAAATTCCAGTGTTGAGTCCTGCTCTGTGAGAGTAGAAACTTTGGGTTCTTTTAGTAGTCTGTGTTGAAGGAAGGAAATCTGCGGAGACACTTGACGACAGATAGGGTGTGGTGGCCCAGGTATGTACTTTTCACTTATTTGGAGCCTGAAGACCTGCTGTTGTTTGTTAGGTAACAAATCGGAAGTATCCAAAGCTGAAAGAAGTGGATGATGTGCTTGGCGGAGCAGCAGCCTGGGAGAATGTTGACTCTACCGCAGGTGAGGAGGAACCTTTTCTGTTACTGAGCTGTGGAGAGGTAGGAGGCCACTGGCCTGTGTCTGACTCAGTGGTGTACCGGGAGGAAGGGAGCTTCTAAAACTACAAAGTGTGTTTATTTTTTCCTTAGTAATTTATTTGTTAGACAGTCTTGGCACAAGCCCCAGAGTTGTGCAGGCCTGGGTTAGAGTCTCACAGTGACCTCCTAACATTTTATGACCTTGGTGGCCTCCCTTGCCCTTTCTGGGGCTATTCCATATTCACTGAGTGTGAGAGCGTAAAGTGAGTCATACAGCATTGGGCATCCAGTGCACTCCGTTAAGAGGTAGCCATGATGATGCGACGGTCACAGGAGTAGTGAAAGAGCCTAAGGAAGAAATAGGAGCTGTTTGTTCTGGTGTAGATTTTTAAAAGTCAGTGCCAGAGAGCATTCAAGTGCTTATTTCACATCTTGTTCCATATCTGAAAGAGGTAGACATGACCAAGGAGGGAAAGAGGAGAGGCCTAAACACACCTGTACTGAGGGGAGGAAGAGCCAACTCCTGTTTACTATTATCTTTTTTCCCCTATAGAAGAACATCCAAATCTGATATGGTGCAATTAGCATTGGCAGAATTTGCTAAGAAAAAGGATGAATTACGTACCCAGTGTTTAAAATGGTGTTTGAGAGTGTTGGAAGGTGTTATCAAGAGCAGAGGCAGTTTCTCAAAGTGAAGTCACGTTGCCTTGACATAGGTGCAGAATGTATGGTGAGATCTTTGTAAGAACAGCCTGAGGAACTGCTGCCAAAAAGGATCCCTAAATTTAAAGGGAAGTGGATTCATCGTCCGCTGGGGGCTCCTCTGGGAGACTGAGAGGGCCCAAGTGATGGAAATGCACTTAGAAGCATCTGCAGGGGGTGGACCCCATAATGCACATGGTAGCTGTAAATCACTTTCCTTGTTATGTTTCCAGCCAGTCTTCAACCAGATTTGAGAAGAAAAATGGGACCCAGGGTGGGGAGCTGGAGTGTTTTCCAGATCACAGGTCTCCTTGATTCCCTCGTTGTGAGAGCGTAGTGGGAGCGATACCACTAACTGTAGCCTCAGTCACAGTACAGGGTACCCTAGGCGAGGCTTGCCAGATGCATGGGGCCCGGAGAGGGTCTTTGCTGCCTTTCCATAACACCTACTTCTAGCAGGTATGTTTGATCATGAGCATCATATTTTTTTTTAAATAATGTGGGTCACTTGTTTTTCTCGTTGCCAGAGCCATGTCCTAAATGCGAACACCCTCGTGCCTATTTCATGCAGCTTCAGACCCGCTCTGCAGACGAGCCGATGACCACCTTCTACAAATGCTGCAGTGCTCAGTGTGGGCACCGCTGGAGGGACTAGGCCCAGGCGGGCCCAGCCGTGCCGTTGTCTGCTTACCTCGTTCCCCAGGCTAGATTCCCAGCCAGGGGTGTGAACTGTTTGTCCCAAAACGTCTTGGCTGGCGTGGCGAAAAGCTAGCCCTTTCAGGGGCGCTGGTCACGGTGCCACAGCTGTAGCCCGTCGGCAGTCAGTGGCTGAGCTCCGTTACGTGCAGGGAGATTTGTGTGTGGATGGGGGATGCAGAAGGAAGGGTGATCCGTTCAATGTCCTGCTCAGCGATGTCGTATGTGTATTGGCTAACAGACATTCTCTCTTCATCACCCTTCTTAAATATGTACCCCGTTTGCACAGCTTATAAAGTAACATTTTATAATGTAGTACATCGGATGTCCCTAAGTATTTAATTAACTGTTAATTGTAAACTTATTTTACCACCATCTATTCTGAATATTTAATTAAAATGGAAAGTCCAGTACTGCTTTTTCAGTGTTTTATTTCAGAGTCCATCGTCTCTCATGGTTCGTCTCGCCCTCCAATTTCCCCCGCTTCATTCTTCCCCTCCTATCTTCTTCTTTTTTTTTTTTTTTTTAACAAATATTGTATTATTTGTTTCAGAGGTACAGATCTGTGATTCAACAGTCTTGCACAATTCACAGCGCTCACCATAGCACATACCCTCCCCAATGTCTATCACCCAGCCTCCCCATCCCTCCCACTCCCCACCACTCCAGCAACCCTCAGTTTGTTTATCTATTTGACAGAAAGACACAGCGAGAGAGGGAACACAAGCAGGGGGAGTGGGAGAGGGAGAAGCAGGCTTCCCGCTGAGCAGGGAGCCCGATGCGGGGCTCGATCCCAGGACCCTGGGATCATGACCTGAGCCGAAGGCAGACGCTTAACGACTGAGCCACCAAGGCACCCCAGGAAATTTCACTCTGCTTTTCCTGCTCAGTGGTCTGGTTGGCAGGGTGTTCTCCAGTGTCTCTGTTTTCTCCAGCTTGGCCTTCTCGAAGCTGGCGATTTCCCCCGTGTCCAGCTTTTGCCATTTTCTTAAAGCGATCCGTGGAGTTGACTCTGAGCCCAGCGCCTGGTCCTCCCACTTATGTTGCTGCAGCAGGAGAGCGTTTTTTCAGTGTTTTAAATGCTTTGAGAAGTAGACATCAAACTACTGCCATACTTAGGGCTCTCCTGGTCACAGAATTGCTAATAACATGGATTTCAGTTTATCATTTCTGTTATTTCCTAGGATTGCAGTAAATTTATTAGATAGAAGATCTTTCTACTTTCTTCCTTCATCTTTTCACTTGCAAAAGAAAAAGGACGTCCCAGACTAGAGGGGGGACGGGATGGTAGTTTGTAGGTGGATTGATTTCTTGCTCAGGACCTCGGGTTTAATGACTTTTCCAAATCTCTTAATAACAGAGTCTCACTCATGAAATCATGGGATGTGAACTCATACCTCTGATACAGATTTGTACATTTTTGAGACTTGGTATCTTTTCTGGAAATGATTAATCTTGAAGTTTGACAAAATGGTGTTTTGTTATAAGTAGGCTCCACACTGGAGCCCAGTGCAGGGCTTGAACTCACGACCCTGAGATCAAGATCTGAGCTGAGATCAAGAGTCAGCTGCTTAGCTGACTGAGCCACCCAGGTGCCCCAACACTGAAGGCTTTCTTTTTGCCATAACATGTAGACCAGGTCCTGAGCCCCTCATCTCTAATTGGTTGTTTTCCAAAACAGCTTGTTCTGGTTATACTGATGAAGTTTTATAATGTGGGAGTTGCCTTTAGGAGCTTCTGTTTATGCCATCAGTTCTTGTTTTTTGCTTTGTCTTGTTTTGTTTTCCATCAGTTTTATTTCCTCAGCTCTTCTGTGGGTGTTTGCTGTTGGGTCAGTGGTGAAGGTCACATGCTCTGAAGTTGGCCTGCGTATCTGCTTCTTAGCTGTGAGACCTTGGTCAGACTGCGGAGCCTCTGCCTTCATTTCCTCATGTGTAAAGTGATAATGATAGTCAATTTCAGGGGTTTATAAACGTTTTCTGTAAAGGCCCAGATAGTAAATATTTTAGACTCTGTGGGTCGAGAGTCAAAATCTAGGAAAACAAACTTCTACCACTTTTTTATAAACAAAATTCAAAATGTAATTGAGTACAGCATTTTGTAATGGGGATCTACTGATGAAAAGAATGGATATCATTTTGCTGACCTGGGGTTCAAAGTTAGCATTTCTGGTCATCAAAATAGATTGCAAATATTCATCTGTTAGTGTTGGTTAAGTGCAGGACAGCAAATGAAGTTAACTGTTGACATCAGCAGTAGAGTCAATACTGATGAGAGATGCAAACAATTTCCGTAGAGAATTTGCCGTAACATGGATTAGCAGAGTCCAGTCCATGGTCTACTGAATTCGTGTTTTCTCAGCTCTGAAAATATTCTTGCCTGCAGTTGTTGGTTCTACACAGACTGCGCACAGGCTCACTCTTCTGTCCCTTCCCAGCTCAGGGCCGGGGCATTGACCTTTCAGAAGGACACCTGAGCAATATCAGTGACATCGGTGGATTCATCAAGTTTCAAGGGAAATCACTTTGCATCATTCGCCTCATTTTTAATTGACTTGATGTTGCTCCCAGTGCCCTTAGCTTTTAGAACTGTTCTCCAAAAGGCCGAGAGTCTTAAATTTATTTTCTCTGGACACATTTCTTCAACTGCTGCAATTAAACACAAGTCACCATCAGTCAGTGGCTTTCCTGGCTTGGTTAACAAATGAGCCCCTCAGAAATTTAATTTGGTTGTTTCATTTTCGTAGTTAATTTTTTTGAAGAAATTCTGCGCCATGTCGAGAGCAGTGCCAGTGACTCGGTGCGTAGTCTGATGACAATGACCTGCTATAGCGTCATTGTATAGTAAACATTCCTTTGCCAGCCAGTTTGATGATGCGGTAATCCACACTGTGCCTTCAAAGGGTGACCTTCAGGGTCCCCCTTTCTGGTTTTGTCACGATGGGTATGCACTGGTAATAGGGTAAGGGAAAAAAATATGTATACACTTATATGGCTGCTTCGTGGTTAGGATTGGTAATCCTGGTGATCACCCAGGAAGGGCACTGCATTGACTTTCACAGATGTCCTCGCTTATGTGTTTTTCTTGTTTCCTGCACTGTACGATGTATTCTTTTTATTTAAGATACTGTGTTTTTCTCTTGGTTCTTTATTGTAGTGTGTCTCTCTCCTCCCATATTTCCTGTTTCTTCCTTGGGAGCATATTTTCCTTCATATCTTTGAGCATAGTTAGAGTAGCTACTTTAAAACCTGTGCTGATTCCAACAACTCAGTCCTGGGAGTCCGTGTCCATTGGTTACCTTTCCTCTTACGTGTGGGTCACCTAGTTCTGTTTCTTCAATGTCTAATACTCTTGGATTTATCTTGGAAATTGTGAATGATACAGACTGTAGATACTAGATTCTGTTATGTTTCTCTGGAGAGTGTTGATTTTTTATTTACATTTAAAGCAAGCTGTAAACTCTGTGTCTCTGATGTAGGCAGCAGCTGAAACTTGCGTTCAGGTTGTTTAACCTTAGCTGTGCTGCTTGGAGTTAGCCAGTACGCATGTGGCCCACAAGTATCCAGAGATTTTGGTAGAGTTTGTTTGTTTGTTTGTTTGTCTGTTTTGGGGCATAGAGTTTAGACGTAGAATTTGGTGCTCACCTCCCTTCCAGGATTTCCTCCCTTTGCAGCCTTTGTGGTCTCCACTTATGGGGTCATGGTGTGGATGGTGTGGTCTGATGGACTTAAGGTAGTAGATTCTAGTTTCAACAAGGTGGGGGGGACCCTGTCAGAAGGAAACTCTCTCTTTTTTTAAATGTTTTCTTTTTTTTTTTTTTTTAGATTTATTTGAGAGAGTGAGAGTGAGAGAGCCTGAGAGGGGGAGGGTCAGAGGGAGAAGCAGACTCCCCACTGAGCAGGGAGCCCGATGCAGTACTCAATCCCGGGACTCCAGGATCATGACCTGAGCTGAAGGCGGACGCCTAACCAACTGAGCCACCCAGGCGCCCCGGAAACTCTCTTTTTTATTTTTTATTTTTTTTTAAAGATTTTATTTATTTGACACAGCGAGAGCTAGAGAGAAAAAGAGACAGAGAGCAAGCACAAGCAGGGGGAACGGCAGGCAGGGGAGAAGCAAGCTCCCCACTGAGCAAGGAACCTGACGTGGGGCTCGATCCCAGGACCCTGGGATCATGACCTGAGCCGAAGGCAAACGCCTAACCAATGGAGCCACCCATGCACCCCTCAGCTCAGATTTTTCTGACCATCATTTTTTAAAAATATTTCATTCATTTGGGGCGCCTGGGTGGCTCAGTCCTTAAGCGTCTGCCTTCGGCTCAGGTCATGATCTCAGGGTCATGAGATAGAGCCCTGCGTCGGGGCTCTGCACTGGGTGTGAGCCTGATTAAGATTCTCTCTCTCCCTCTCCCCCTGCCCCTCCCCACCTCAAAAAAAAAAAAATGTGTGATTTATGTTTCTGTCCATTCCTAAGGTGTTTCCTGGGCTTAAACTTTTGATTTCATCTCTCTGTGGGTCCTGGTTGTTCTCAGACTACAGAGCTGCAGCTCTGGGCTATCCAAACCTTACCCGAGATGTTTTGATGCACAGAGCACACACATGCACACTGAAATGTGACCTTATTTGGTACCCCAAAGAACATACAGCCAATAAGTAAATGAAAAGATGCATATCTTCACTAATAATCAGTGAAGTGTAAATGAAAGCAACATTGAAATATGTTTGCCTATCAGACAGGCAAAGATTAAAAAGACTGATAATGTACACTGTTGGTGACAGGCATTCTTAAACTTCTGGTAGGAGTAGAAGTTGGTACGTTTTTGCAGTGCCACTTGGTAGTATCAGTATTTTAAAATGCTGAACTTTATTTTTATTTATTTTTTTTAAAGATTTTTAAAATTTATTTGACAGAGAAAGACACAGCGAGAGTGGGAACCCAAGCAGGGGGAGTAGGAGAGGGAGAAGCAGGCTCCCTGCTGAGCAGGGAGCCCGGTACGGGGCTCAATCCCAGGACCCTGAGATCATGACCTGAGCCGGAGGCAGACGCTTAACGACTGAGCCACCCAGGCGCCCCATTAAAATGCTGAACTTTAGACCCCATAGTTCCACCCCTAGGATTATTTGTACAGAGGTGCTCACTCTGGTGATTAAAGATCCATGCCCAGAATTGTTTACTACCTTTGTTTAAAATTGCATATATGCCCTGGAAGTTAACATAATGTTACATGTCCTGTTTCAAAAAATAAAAATAGCATATAT